GAGACGAAAAAGCAGGAGCCGGGGCTGTTCAACAACGTGATCGAGGAGACGGCGAGCCGGCTCGTCGCTGAGGCGAGGAAGAGCAAGGTGAAGGCGCTCGTCGGTGCCTTTGAGACCGTCATCTCGCTGCAGGAAACCAGCAAGGCTGCTGCTCCGGCTATGGCAGCAGGTGTCGTCGTGCCATGAGCGCTTCTTGATCTGCGGTGTGCGTGATCACCGTTCTTGCAATTTTGGACTTGTATTTGGTTGTTGGTGACTGTAAAAGTGGAGCTTTTGAAGTTTGCTCGTTCCCATGTAAGTTTGTTCGTAGTACTTCAATAAAAAAAAGAAAAAAAGGAAAGTTCGTACAGATTTTGTGTTTGTGCAAGGCTTGGCATTGTACTGCAAATAAGTAAGCAAGTTACTGTAATGATTAACTCGCTTGTTTGAAAAGTAAATGAAAAGGATAAACCAGATTAAACTTTGTGTTATCTGATTCCTGAAAATGGTACTAACCTTCTGTCAACGTTTTCTATGTTTTTTTTAGAATTTTGTTTTCTATGTTTTTAGCTTCATTTCACTGCATTTTAAGTATACAACTACACGCTGCATATGCTGGCAGATTTGTCCATATGTCACTCCTGCTGATATCTCCACTCACCAGCACAAGTCATATGTTACATATGCTCAATTTAATTTTGAAGAGCGTTTTGGACTTTCTTGCTGGCTTGACTGGACCGTTGACCGTTGAGAGGCCGGTCCAAGCCAGATGGGAAGTTGACCTGGTCAAAGCGATCCAGGAGCTCAACCTTTGAGAATGGGCTCTTGGAGCAACTAGAGGTAGTAGAAAGAGAAGACCGGCCCAGGCCCATATTTGGAAATATTGGGCGGATGGGATGGAATTCAGAGTCCACATATTTTTTTAATTAAAATAAAATAAACGAGGCAGCTAACACGATAATTAAGAAGGTTATGCTTTGGAATTTTCCAATTTGGAGTTGCTGATTTGAACTAGTCGGACCCGGCAAACAATGGACGAAGGAGGATCGGAGGCATTCTAAATTCCAAGTGGATCTGCCAAGCAAGTATTATGTTTCTTGTGCACGAGGGGGGAATATAACTAAATACTTCTCTTCAAGTTACTTTGTCGTTTTGGAACGAATGAAATCAGACTATCGCTTGTAATAATTTGTAAAAAAAAATATTGCTCGTAATATTTATATTTGAAAATTTAAAATCATATACACAACACGTCCTAGAGAAAATTTCCTTTTTCACTCTATCTTTACTTGGAAAGCAATCGGCAAGAAATTTTTCAGGCATGTATCTATATCTCTTATAAAACTAATCTATACTGAAAGTTCTATCTCAACATACATGACATCCACATCATCTCTTACTAACTATTCACACCATCTTCCATTAAAGTCATGTCATGCCATTAACTTTCAACCTTTTAATACAAATTATCCATGTTATCTCTACTTAATTTCATTCTAAATTCTTCCCAATCTCCGCAGTAATGTGTGGGATATCTTCTACTCCCTCTGTTCTAAATTATAAGTCATTCTGAATTTTTTGGTTCATCTATTTTGCTATGTATCTAGACATATTATTATATCTAGATGCATGGCAAAATGGATGTACCAAAAAAGTCAGAGCGACTTATAATTTGGAATGGAGGAAGTACTTAACAAAATGGTAAACCACCCACACCAAAGAAATGACTTTTGTCCATAATGGCTACGCCAACATAATGGATGATGTTTTTGCAAAACAAATGGATTATGTAAATATTATTATGAAATATTACTCCGGTTAAAGTTACATTTTCTTTTTGTGATCACGCCAGTGTCCAATGCTATGGTTCCTGAAGTAACACTAGATGTTTATTCTAAGATATGGCTGGCCCAGTTTTGGTTTTATATTATATTTATATGATTGACGAATGTACTAAAATACAAAGTCAACATTCGAGGAATCAGCAGCTAGCCACCCCACCCAGCTAGAAAGAGTTCCAACACGGAACCAGCCGGGTTATGATTTTGGTCTTTGGAGCAGTTGAGGCATCCAAAATCCAAAAGTGGAATAGATGAGCATATATGTAGCATATCCTATCATTTGTGTAAGAGGCAAAGGAAGCATGCATATGACGTGCTTTTGGATTGAAGTGGATAGATGGATGAGCATGCCTTACGTGGCATGCATGCCATTTGGAGCATCTTCCTACGGGCTACAGCCACTGCACATGTACCAAGCGAGAGAGAATCAATCATATGCAGCGTGTGAGAGATCAGCGTTGATGAAGACATTAAGAACATAATATATCTACAAGGAATGCAACATGTGACATCAGATCAGAATGACAATGAAGGCGATGCCCTGTTTTTCAGCGGTACTTTTTAGCGAATGAATATTGTTTTTCTCTCACAACAAATCAACATCAGCAACAACCAAATTTCAGTGAAATGAACAGGGGATTGATGGTTAAGAAATAAGAACATGTTTGTGCAGAGGGCATTTTGGTCATCTGGAAACTGACCACCACCAGCCACACATCTCTGCTAGGACTGCAACTGTGGCTATTAGAATTATGTGAAGATAATCAAATCAAACAATTTAGCATATCTCTTTTTTTTGTTTCAGCTAACCAATGCTGACAGAATTCGGGATCACATAGACAACAGTAGCCGTTTAGTTCACGTGCACATCATGGTCTGACTGACGTGAGAGGTCTACTGGAATGGATAGGGATCTGATGATCGGATGCAAGCTTCCAACCATGGGAAAGCTGCAGCTACAGCCTACAGGCATCCCTCCCATTCCTGCTTTTCACCAAAGCTGCAAGTTGCACGCTGAGGAAAGTGGATAGAAAGCACATCCCCGGGCTTTGCATCTTGCGTCGACAAGGTGATGCGGATTTGGTCGATCTTTGACTTCCATGGACGCCCCCTCATCTTCACCATTTCAGAATCAAACGTGAGACTTTGACTTCGACTTGCATCATTGCAGCAGCAAGCAGACATCCCTATCCCCATCTCAGAAGCCTCCCAACCCTTGCTCTTTCTTCAAGCCATGGATCTGGACGACAATTGTCATTTCCCAACCTTGATGCTGTTTTGTTTCATCATTACGAGGTAGAGCATGCTTATCTTGGTTGTAAGCAAGCAATCAAAAGAAAAGAAGAAGAAAGAAAGAACTCGAGGAATAATACTTGCTTGCTGAATGCAGATAACTATACTATATACCATTCACTGATAAGTCAGGCCGATGAATTCAAGCGAACAGCCATATTGCCTCGTGCCTCCTAGGGCCCACATCTCTACCACTAACCCCACATCCGGCTGCCACCATTGACCAGCTCTCCGCAGTCCAATGAGATGTTGCATATCAAGAAATGATGACCAGGAAAGTCCGATTGCAGCTGCATAGAATTGACTCACTCTAGCAAAGTTCTTTTACAAGTTCCATAATACCATTTCCAAATTTCAAGAAAGCAAGCCCCGTTCGCGTGAACTTATCAGCCGTACCATTTCAGCGAAATATTAGTGTTTTTCTCTCACGACAAATCAGCATCAGCATCAGTATCAGCCGTTTTTCCAGCCGGGCCAACATGGCCAAGTCCAACATTTTGGATTCTGCCATTCTGGAACCTTGATCCCATCTCTGCACCCAACACCATTTCAGGGTCTGGAATCAGGATAGTTTTTTTTTCTCCCCCTAATCCAGCCTGGCCTACAGGCTACAGACACGGTGATTGTTTAATCCCCGCTCTGTTGCCTTGAGATTCTGGTGAGGAGTCTGCCCACAAAACAAACGCACAGTCTCCCTGAAAAGAACAACGCAGCTGTGACTTTTCAGGACACGAGTGATGCGAACAAAACCATAGCTGTTTGGTAGTAGCTTTCTCTCGGCGAGGGAGGGAGTAGCTTGGAAGGGAGAGAGTAGATACAGACCACAGTACAAAGCGAAGCGGCAACCACCGCCGAGATTTCCTCAAGAATCTGCAGCCTCTTCTTCCCCGCACCCCCACTCTTTATCCACTAGCGCGAGCTGCGCGCGAGCATAAAAAGCCACCCCCGCGCGTCTGATTCCAGCTGACGGGGGCCTGGGGTTCCGGCGAAAGACTCGAGCTTTTCTTGATTTGCCCTGTCGCCTGCATTGGGACGAGAGGAGGTCCTGTTCTTCGACGGTCTGGGGAGCACCTGAGCCGACTCGCGGGCGTTCTTGGGCTACTTGCGGTTATTCAGGTAATGATGGCTTTTTCTCCGGCTCTCTTGGATTTCAGCTCTATTTACTCGGTTCAGTAGATAAAATCTGCAGCGGGTTGCCGCGGGCGTCGGGTGTTTGGATGTAGCGCGTCTGCGCTGTTTCAGTTCATGGTTCGATGTTGTTCAATTGGTTGTTGGGAAGGGAGAGAGTTTTGTGTGATTCCATGGACCAATTGGGGTGCTCTTAGAGGATTCAGTTTCCTTCTATGCGAGTCTCGTTCGATTTGGATGACAAGGTGCAGGTTTCTTTCCCATCTCAGAGAGCAAAGTACAATGTCACGGGGCCTTCGCTGGCAATTCGAGAGAAGCATTTTGTGGATCTGAGTGCTTTTGCTTCTCTATCCTACTGATGAAATTCATCCTTTCTCAGAGAAAAGGAAAAATGTTTTTCTCTACATGAAGACATAGATGAGCTTATCTTGATCCTATTCTAAAATGTAGATATTTCAAGGTGACTTAGTGCCATAGGGCGAATCATAGCTTCATGATTGAGACATCAACAAAGTGGTCTACTTAAATAGTTCAATAAAGAAAGCTGAACAGTTCCACGTACTGAATTCTGACCTCTTAAAAGAAGAACAGATAATATAGACAAAGTTGAAACGGCAGGAGTCACGTTCAGCTTTACTAATGGAGTAGAAATTAGACCTTTCCCTACCAACTATTTCCCATATATTTATAATAAGTCCTAGCCATTCTAATTGGGAAGTGCCCTTTTGGTTGATGCCACCGTTTGCAGGTTCTGGAAGCATGAGGTTATGGTCTCTCTTTCTCTTGCCTCTGCTCTGTCTGCCTGCGCGGGTTCGATCAGATGATTACTCGGATGTAACTGTCATTGTTCGAGGCTCTGAGACGATTGCTTCGACCAGTGACGAGTTTGTTTGCGCCACCATTGATTGGTGGCCTCCAGAGAAGTGTAACTACGACCAGTGTCCATGGGGAAGGGCTTCTGTCTTAAATTTGGTTAGTTCCCAAGACAACCGTTTTATCATGTGGTTGGTACTGGCGAAAACTAATTTTTGGTCCTTTTGTGAATTTTCCCAGGACTTGACTAATCCTTTGTTGGCTAAAGCTATCCAAGGTGAATATCTTTAACTACTTAATTGAGTGATTCTACAACATTCAATGGTGAACTCACATATGGAGATCATTTCTTACACTACCTAAATTTAGAAGGCAAAACATTGGTAGAGTATACCCCATCTAATGTATGATTGATGTATTGCTAAAATGTACCATTATGTAGTCTATGCCATGTTTATTTACCAAGCCACCAAAAAAAATACTATTCTTTTCCATAATATGATGACTCAGCATATTTCCATCTTGAATATATTCCTTTTCCACTCTTGTTCTTGTAGCCTTTAGTCCACTACGAATCAGAGTTGGAGGCTCTTTACAAGATCAAGTGTTATATGGCACACCAAATTTAGGATCGTCATGCGACCCATTTACAAAGGTTTCAAGTGGCCTTTTTGGGTTTTCTCAAGGATGCATAACCTTGGAAAGATGGGATGATATTAATGATCTGTTCCTGAATACTGGGTGAGTCCTTCCTTCTATAATTGTTTATTTATCGTTCTCTGCATTTTCTTGAAGAGGTTTACTATAGTATGGATTGTCGAATGTACCACATGTTGTAACTTATTCTTTCCATAAACCTACATCAAGGATATCCATATTCTGTTGCTTTGAAATAGCATATTATTTCACATATCTGTTTCCTAATTCTACATTATTTTCTCCCTTCAGTGCAGTTGTTACATTTGGTCTCAACGCGCTTCAAGGACGACAGCAGACAAGAAAAGGTGTTTGGGGTGGTCCCTGGAATTCTAGCAATGCTCGAGAATTCATTGAATACACTGTTTCAAAGAACTATCCTATAGATTCATGGGAATTTGGTAATGCAATGTTATAAAATTCTTGCTTAATGCTCTTGGAGTTGGGGATGTATTATATTCATGTAATGCTTATATAAGATGCTGTGTTCGTGTCATAGGTAATGAACTGAGTGGAAGTGGAATTGGTGCGAGTGTGTCAGCTGAACAATATGGAAAAGACCTAGTTGAACTTCAAACCATCATCAACGAGTTACACGGAGATTCCAGCAAACCACTGGTTGTAGCCCCAGGAGGATTTTATGACCAAAAATGGTTTGCTCAGCTTCTCGATGTCTCCGGGCCAAATGTTCTCAATGCAATGACTCATCATATTTACAATCTTGGTGCTGGTGAGTCCTTCCAGATATTATTTTGGCTCTACTCCTTGAGAAAATTTTGTTTTATGTCTTACATCGAGGGGACATAATTGTGCTAATTTCAATCTTGATTAGGTAATGATCCACAAGTTCCAAACAGAATTTTGAACCCACAGTATCTGAGCCGGACCTCCGATACATTCAGAAGTCTCCAACTCACCATACAACGCCATGGACCGTGGTCTGCTCCATGGGTTGGCGAATCTGGTGGTGCATATAATAGTGGCAGCCGACTCGTGTCCAATACTTTTCTCAATAGCTTCTGGTGATCACTTGTCAGATGAAAAAAAAATACTCACATCTTTACCATCATTATTTTTAAATCATTCTCACCTCTGTGTTTCCACTAGGTATCTTGATCAGCTGGGTCAGTCAGCAAAGTATGACACCAAGGTTTATTGTAGACAGACGCTGATTGGTGGCAATTACGGTCTTCTTGACACCGACACTTTTGTACCAAACCCAGATTACTACAGGTAAGTGTGTGTACCAAATATGCCGCTACAAACTTGATTTACTACTTCCATATGCATTGGACTGAACCATAGTATCTGTTCAGTGCCTTGCTGTGGCATCGGCTCATGGGGACACGTGTTCTTTCCATAGACATCAGTGGTTCTTCGTACTTGCGTGCCTATGTGCATTGCGCAAAGCAAAAGGTACAAGTCTACCCTAAGATGTCTTCTTAGAAACACAATGTTGATTACTCAATGATTGCTTACACAAGCTTAACTAATTGAAACAAATATTGAAATCTTAGTGCACAACTGCAGTTATGTCAGCCTTTTAGCTGAGTTTTATGGGATTTCAAATTAACAGATGGCTGATTCTTGGCTTTCAAAATATTTTTACTACAGGGTGGTGTTGCTCTTCTCTTGCTGAACCTGCACCGAACCATGGGCTTCATGGTTTCAGTCAGGAACGACCTAAATGTCAATCTCGCAGAAGGGCGAGGGATCAGAAGGGACAATGCCTTTGTCCATGGCCTGAAAAGAACGGTTTCTTGGGTCGGGAGCAAAGCCTCCGATGGCTTTTCTAAGAGGGAGGAGTACCATCTCTCGGCGAAAGATGGGAACCCTTTTGCCCGGACCATGCTGCTTAATGGAGTACCTCTTGAGCTTACTGAAGATGGTGACATCCCTCCATTGTATCCAGTGGAAGTTTCAGTTAACTCACCAATCTATGTTGCCCCTCTGACCATTGCGTTTGTCGTCTTCCCTGACTTTGAGGCTGAAGCTTGTGGCCGATGATAATCTGTAGTTTTGAGATAGAATATCACGAGGTTTTCTGATTATATATATAATAGAGATTTCTGAAGAACAAGGTCACTGTAAAGATATGTGTTCGTTTTCTGATTTGTGCCCCAATTGGGCCATCCACATTTTCCCAACGAATATAGTCTCCAGGTGATGTCATACTGAATTACTGATGTCATTGTACTTTGTACAGTTCATCAACATCTCAGAAAAGAAATGTTCAGCATCAATCAAATTCCAGAGGAAACTGTGCCATCGAACTTGCTGATGTGCCAGTGAATTGCATTCTGTTCACAGCTGTATTGATCTTTCCAATGACTAAAATTAGTTAAATCCGTGCTTTTTCTTCTGTAAAAAAAATAATGTTGATTCAAATGGAATTCACATATACAGAAGGTTAGTCTTTTGGGCTTTTCTTCTGTAAAAAAAAATGTTGATTCAAATGGAATTCACAAATACAGATGGTTAGTCTTTTGGGATGATCAGGCTTCAGAGAACCGAAGAATAGGTAACAAGTATACAAGGTTTGCTTTGCATAATCAAAATCCATGCTTTTCACATGGTGAACTGTGTATACTCGTCATCAATTACAATAAGGATGGGACTACCATCAATTCAACTTATATATTGCTCCATCAAATACAAAAGAACCATCCTAAACAATATCGTAATTTCATGAGCTATGATACAAATGGAATAAATTAAAGGAAAAGGGTCCTAGAGTAAATGGGAAAAAATAACATTTCCTTTCTGTTCATTGAATATTCTCCATCAGCGCATGTAACCATGTGAGGGGATTACTGAGCTCCCCGGTTACCCTTCATAAACTCTCTGCTGTTGATCTCCAAAATAACGAATTTAATTTCACTTAATATATGCTTTTATTTATATTGTCACGACAATCTACAACTGAGGCTCCATTATATGACAGTTTCTTATGAATTCATTTGAGTAGTTCACATATTTTGTCCAAAATGGCTGAAGATGTTTAAAACCAATCTCCAGCCACGGTTTACTTTGCCCGTTATAATGTATAACTGCTGCTTGTTCAACACTACTGATATCTGTCTTTTCCTGATAACCCAAGCCTAACAGATGCCATGATGGATCAATTGGGTGAACATGGCCTTTAAATGCTATAAGGCCTGGTGGTAATGTTCCAAGCCTCCAAAGTGTGAAGTTTGACTTCAGGTTCTGCATGCAGAGGAACAAGAATGGAAGCTCATCAATTCGTACTTTCAAATGTAACAATACAGGTTAGACTGTAGATAGTTTCAATAATCAACTAAACTGGAAAGTAATGCTGATAAAATCTCTCACATATGCTTTTTCGATCATTTTTAAGCAAATCAGAAGGCATGTATTGATTTTTTTTTCTTTATTTGGTGTCTTTTGGAACTATGCTACAAGTAAAAGACAATTATGTTCGCATATATCTGTTAACTCGTTATACTATAAAATGGCCATAAAAAGATATCTATTCTTACCTCCTTGACCCAATGATGGTATTTATCTTTGATTGTTGTCTTCCTCCATGCATTCAGGTCAAAAATATTCATACCATATGCCCAAGCACACTCTGAAGGGTCGAAGTTTTTTGCAATGAGGGGATGAGAAAAGTTGAAATAATTCCTGAACCTCTTAGACATCACCCAACTGTCTCCACCTCTGCAAGTCTCAACAGCACCATTAACCTTCCCAGCTAGATCGATATCCCAAAGTGGTGATAGGTCATGCTGGACAACGACATCATCATCAAGAAATACGATCTTGTTGAGGCTTGGGAACAACTGCGTCCACAGATTACAGATTAAATCAGTGGAACTTTCAGCAAAAAAAGGATGTAGGTCAACAAATATAATTGCATTTTGAACAAGTTTGTACCATATACAAATTTTGTATATATAGACTATATGCAGAGAAAGCTCCAGATATCTCAAGAAAAGGGCAGCATCACTTCTTGATCCCAGGACCAGCAAACTAGAACAGGTCCACAGTGGGTAATTCTACAGAGTAAAAGACTAAAATACTTTCAATTCTTTTGCAGTTTTTATTGTTTCAAACCATCCTTCTATCAATTAGCATGATTACTTGTTCATCAAATATGTCAGAGCCGACAAAAACTGTAATTGGACTTCCTTCCCTCTTAAGTAAGAAACAGTAAAAATAATATTCAGAAGAAATTTATAATACCTCAGGCAAGTATATTCGAATATGATTGAGCACATTAGTATATGTTGGACTTCCTGCCTGCAGCTTGGCTGCAAAAACCCTTGAGCTATCACTAGCACTGGTTCTTGGATGGTGACTTCCGTGGTAACGATCTCTGGCAGTGCGCTGAGTTTCTATAGCTTCAAGTACAGGAACATTTTCTTTTGTTAACCAATCAAATTGGTGAACACCTTTCACCTCAACAATAGCAGGACTGAGAGAATTTAAAGCAAACCATGAATGCATGGCAGGATAGGTCTTTTTGTCAGTAATAACATGGAAAACTATCCTCTCAGGTTTCAGTGATGATCTAACAGTTGATCTGACGACAACTGAGGCTGCAAGGATGTTATCTGATGCTAAAACAAAATGGTAATAGGAGTTGTCCGAAGACAAGGCACCAACTCTGGGGTGGTAGTTGTTTCTTGCAAGGGCATTTGAGGAGTATTCATCAGTTAAACGTAATGAAAGGCAATAAAGGCCTTTAGGAATAGCAATTGCAGCATAGTGCTTGTTCAACTGCTCCGATAACCTTGATGACCTCAATTCCTTATCCATGCTCTCCATCTGCATGGCATAATGTGGAAAATCAGAATAAGAACAGCAACTTGCTAATAGGAACAAAGTAGAGAAAGTTGTATCGGTATCATCATGACACACTAGGTGATATTAAAATTTTAGGTTGTCAACCACTCACACTAAGTGCATTAGCTTTGTAGGACGCTGTGTAAGTAAAAAAAAAAAGTTAACAATTTCTATGGCATACTGATCTGCTGTAAAATAACTTAAGATTTAGAGTCAGGTAGATGGAGGCTAGTAATCATTCTTTACTCCAAAATTGAGTCCTAATGTAGAATCCTGATTACATCATTTGATCAAGACTAGTTATTAACCATCAGATCTGAAAATACTTGGGACATGGTTCAATTAGATACCATTCAGGTGAAAGGGCGTAAGTTTGTGGGACACTGAAACCATATGCATTGTTACCTGAAAAGAGATCCTTTTATAGAACACATGTTCCTAGACTACCCTTTGGACAATATGCAAGTGTATAAAATATTTTCATTAGTGTTGAACTGTTGATAGTACAACAAAATGCCAATAAACAATTTCACAGCAAAGTATGGGTGATATACTCGTTAGATTGTAAAAAAAAGGACATTCAGTGTCTATGACAAAATCTGATTGTACATGACCAAACAACATTAACTAAGAACTGACTCAAGCTAACGGTTTACTGCCAAAAGTCTAATGTTTGCATAGCAAGTACTGCCAATGTTTAAATGAAGTGGGGGGTACTGAAATATACCGTAGCCTTCAGCTTAAAAGCAAATGACCTTAAATCATAATCATTATTCTTCATGTCCCAGATAAATTCATCAAAAGTTTCTGGAACCTTCAAATCAAGAGGTGCTTCCTCAGAATTTACTTCATCAAGCATCACATACAAATCCCTCACAAGCCTCTGCACATTAGAATACAAGTTCAAATAAATAAAGCAAATCCTCAAAATGGAAGAAAGTAACAGATTAAATAGAGGACATATAAGTACCATGGAACCATCATTTCCCCTACCAAGAAGGCGCGGACCTAAACGTCTTCCCAGACAATCTGAAAATAGCAGCTGGTGATTAGTAACAAGTGACCAGGAATATAATACATTTTATAAACAGAATTCATCATTGAACAATGCTGTGTTGTAACAAATAACCAAATAATGAGAACCCACCCTATGCTGAGCTGCATATAGCCTCAAACCAGAAACAACCTAATATGGCACGTAAGCAGCCACCGTTCTCTAGAGTAACCTTTTACATACATATGCCAAAATAAGCGGTTTTTGGATGCTTGAGCAAACCAAGATGGCACCTTGGTGGTTGCTCAGCACATAAGATGTATGCGACCAAGCTGCCCCACGAGGCACTAGAGCAGCACAAGGCACGCTAATCATGACCAATGCAGTTACATGTGCGCAACATAACAAAAAAATCTGGTTAAGAACGCCAAGTTTATCAGCCTCATTCCTGTTATCCACCGACCGAATCAGGCATCTCGTGCTACCACATGCACATGGAGCATCACTAGTCAAGCAATGCACTATCTAAACTGTTTCAGTACTGACAACATTTCAGGAATGGAAGTAGCAGCACGCAGCAGCCATTTCAGTAACGGGCGATCATAAGGAGAATGGAATTGAAAGTAGCTATATGCATGGTTACAGGACAGAAACAGCAGCTGCAACTACTGCTGGCGCACGTACCTAGTGAGGAGCACTTGTTGAAGCCCTCGAGCGTCATGACAGCGGTGAGTATGAAGACGAAGGGCAGGAGGAAGGCGAGGATGAGGACGGTGTGGAAGACGGTGCGGTAGGAGAAGTGTCGCGCGGCGACCTTGAGCCTCATCAAGTCTAGCAGGCCATGGCTAGTGGAGATGGTGATGCTCCTCATGCTCGGCGACAGCCGGATCTGCATCCTCGCTCCTGGACGCCGCCCACGACGGCCGCTGCTCCCTCTCCTGCTCCCGAGGACCACACGAGCATCGGGAGCCGCGGCGGCAGGCGGGGGCGGTCAGAGGGGGCATGCCAGCCCGGCGCCGTGGGAGCGGGGGGCGCCGACGGCCGGATCCGGCATTGGCGCGGGGGAACCGACAGCTCCAAGAAGCAATCTTGATTGCTCCCCGCGCCCTCGTCTCACTTCCCCGGCCTTCCCCTGCCGCGTTCTTGATTTGATTTCTCACTGGTGCCTGGGCGCCGCGAATCACGCGCCCGGATCAAGAAACCT